TTAAAGTAAATGGCCTTTGGTGACTAGGACCTAGTTGGGAAGAGTGCGATTTCAACCCGATCCATTCACCTGAGTTAACAATAACCTAAAATTTGCAACTTTCGACAGCCCCCAGTTAGGGGGGCGTAACCCCAATTTTGATGTGCCACACCACATTATCATACAAATCATCTCATACAAGGAGATGCTTCACATCTCAGGTTAAATGTTAGTATGTGCAAATATCTAACTTCAGGTTATAAACTTTTTAGTTTGAAGCGAAAAAGAATTAAAAACCACTAGACCTATAAAGGACCAAGAAAAGTGTAGCATAAATAATGGTTTGGCAGCTTGTTCACAATTTCATAAACAATTTTGGACAAATCCTTCTTACTTCATGGCTGGTGTTTTGATTCAGGAAATACTTTCCCTTACTTATCAAAAGCCATCTAAACAAGCAAGAGCAAAATATATCAACCATGAGACAACAAAACACGTTGTATTCGGAGATACGGCAGATTACACCAATCGATGTAGATACAATCAATAAAGACTCATTTATTGACTGGAAGATACATACATATGTTACAAAATCCGTGACACATATATGTGTCAAGAGTGGTGACACATAGTTGTGTCTAGATTATAAAAAAAATTTAAAGAATATCATCATTCAACATTATAACCTTGTAGATGGTCATCCATTCTAGGATTATTCTCACCAAAACACACTTAACCATGGAGTTTTCTAGCTTGTACACTATCATGAATGCTTAATGATTATCATAATTAAAATCGAAAATTTATTATTTAAGTCCATTAATAGAGCCCCTCACAATTCATGTTGGACTATTAGCATGTTTTAATTATATTTAATTGTATATGTAAATTCTAATGACACAAATATGTGTCATGATTTACTATATTTTTTATTTGTGTCTCTATTATTTAATCTCTTACAAATAAAATAACATTTTTATGTGTCATAAAATAAGTATGGACACATACAACTTTCGTTGTGGTGTACTTTAATTATTTCATAACTATTTCCATGCAAACAAACATGCCCTAAACATAATTTATAAAAATCACTTTATCTTTTAGTACATACTCTTGTGGTTGGGAGTATGAACTTTTTTTTGTAACAACCACTTTATCTTTTAATTTAGCTGGCTGGAATACCTTTTTGGGGTATTCCATCCTTTTTTTTTGTAACAACCACTTTATCTTTTAATTTAGCTGGCTGGAATACCTTTTTGGGGTATTCCATCCTTTTTCTCAAAAAAAAAATCTTTATCTTTTAATTTAGCTGGCTGGAATACCTTTTTGGGGTATTCCATCCTTTTTCTCAAAAAAAAAATAATTTATAAAAATCAGATGTAGTTTTCTGTTTTGCTGTAACCAAGTTGTTTTGTAACTGTAAGTGCGTGACGCAAGGACGTTTCTGCAAATATATATTTCAATTCAACATTTTATTTATTTGTTTGTTTATTTTAAGGACATGGTTACTTTTGCAATTGCAGTTGGGGGGGAAACGACTGTATTTGTGTCGAAATAAACAATATTAACTATCATTCCATGCATGTTTTTAGTTTTGCTACCTGAATCGTATTTACAATAGAAATTTTTCTCGTGTACATCTCTATATCATTACCTGTGTAGAAATTTCTTGTTGAGGAAGGTTAGGAATGTCAAATGCACTGAATCTACGAGTTAAGCTTAATGAGTAATAAAAGTTTTGGAAGTCTAAACCCATGTCTAGGATTCAGATAACAAAACGGTGCTACATTATTTACTGCACGGAGTCTTGTTTGAAAAATAACCATCCAAATAAACATGTAGTAGCATAGGGGAGCGATCATCTATCAGGACTAAAAAAAATCTTCTAGAGAGCCTCCTATGAACTACCACTAGTATTTTGCCCGTGCAAAGCACGGGTCAAACATCTTTAGGCATGCTGCTAACTTCTTATTGATAGATCATATTACAACTAGGGGCGTAGCCAGGGCAGTCTTGCCCTGGGCAGCTGCCCAGGGCAAGAAACTGCCCCACTTCACCTCCCCCTCTCGCCTCCCCTCGCTTCCCTTCTTCTCCGGCCACTTCACCTCCCTCTTCCGCAGATCCAACCTCCTCTCCCTCCTCTTCCAGGACCTCCATCTCAACAATCCCTAACCCTCCTCCCTCTCCCGCGCCTCACTCCTCTCCCTCACCGAGCTCCTCTCCCTTCTCCGTCGCTTCAAGTCCCTCACCGCCGACCACCTTTATTTTTCGCCCAGGGCAAAAAATATTTCTGGCTACGCCACTGATTACAACACAACTCATTAATTATCCAGATTCTATGCTAATCTACCAATGTGCCATGTATTACTTAACTATAAAATTATGAACATGTATAATTTAGACTAAGCAAAAGGTGGATTGACCAAAATATTTGTGGTATGCGAAAACATTGATAAATCATAAAACATAAGTGATACAGAATTCTATAAAATACCATAGAGGAAGAAAAAGAAAGCGATACATCACTATTAATCTTAAAGAGTTACTGAATTTACTAATTTATATACTAATTCATTGTTTTTATTTAAAATGTCTATTTATATCAATATTTATTTGGTTCATATTGATTTTATGACAAAATTTTAAAATAGACCATATTTGTAATTTATTTGTAAAAATCGATCTATTTGTAGTTTATTCACTATTTTCGACCTAGTTTTAGCCAGTTAGCTAAAACTAGGTTGAAAATGATAAATAAAACTTTACGGGATTTTAAATCCCGTGAAGTTTAGTGCTTAATTACCCATCCTAATGAAAAAAAAACAACTAGTCTAAGCCTAATAACCACCAAAATAAACTTTATGAAATTTAAAATCCTGTAAAATTTAAATTTTTTTTTACCATTTTCGACCTAATTTTAGCCATGTGATAGAAATTAGATCGAAAATGGTAATTAAATCTCAAAGGGGTCATTTTTTAAAATTAAAATTTCAATAGTCTATTTTAAAAATTTATCCTTTATTTTGAAAAAGTTTAAAACTGTTTTACTATTTTCGACTAAGTTTTAGCCAAATGGTAGAAACTATATCGAAAATGATAAATCGATCTCGAAGTGGTCATAATTTAAAATCAATTTTTTAATAAGGTTAATTTTAAAAATTTATCCTTAATTTTATATCTTATTTTTACTGATTTGTACTCTAGCTATACGATTTAACATTATGTTGATCGTAGAACTTGCACGTGTATGAGGACTTTTTTCCCCATATTCATCAATCACTTATCCCTGCTGGATTGTGAGGTGGACATCCACCTTAGGGAAAATTGCTTCTAGGCCTCAAAATCCAACTTTCAATGTGCCACAGCCCTCCATATTTTTTTTAATGTGCTGCAGCCCCTTGTTTTTGAAAAAATTATGTCCAGACCCCTTCATCAGGATTACAACTCATGTCAGTGGATGATTAGACATGCCAGCTCATGATTAGACATGTCAACTGGCTTAAATCCTAATTTTACCATCATCTTTCTCATGTCAACGTACGGATGTTAACTCTTACGGTTAACATGTTAACTCTTATAGTTAACATGTTAACCGTAAGAGTTAACATGTTGACATGATAACCATAATCGCTGCCGACCACGCGAAGTTCCTCGGGACGGCGCCGACGACAGAGCAGGGGAGGGGGCAGAGGGGAATACGAGGAGGATGAGGGAGGTGCACTGTTATAAATAGCGATAAATAGCCCCGCAATAGCGGCGCTAATAGCGTTAGCGGTCCTTTCCCGTGACGCTACGCCCTCTACGTTATCGCGCAATAGCGGTGACATATTGCGAAATATATCTGTTCGTAAAAACGGTCAATAGTGCGTCATAACGGTAAATAGTGAGTGATTGCATTCGAAATTTGCTTTTTGACTGCTATTTATAAGCGGTTTGAGTCTTATTTTTTAAATTAAACTCAACCCTTAACCATTGCATTCTATCATCTCCTGTGATTTTTAGCATACTCCTGTCACCTCTCATAGCATATGGCACCTACCTTGATACTTCCTTTCACATTCTTCACTGTGAGCTCCTCTTAGGACAGTCCTGTCACCGCTAAGCTCTTCTTCTCGAAGACGACGACTTTTTGACTCCTCTAGTCATCTTCGGTATTACGTGATGGTTACATATCTATTTCATGTTTAGGATCTCTTTAAATCATCCAATATGTACGTTTAGATTTCTTAGATTTTTCTTTAATTTTTTTAGTTTTTATACATATCTAAATTAGATCGCTATTTGACTTTACGTTTTTTACCGTTATTTTACCGCAATAACCCAAAATAGCCTTAGCGGTGCCTCACCGCTACGCGATGCTATCCACTATCGATAACCTTAGGGAGTGTACAGGGAGGTGCAAACGGGGGAGGAGGCTGAGCGGGGAGGAGGGTCCGGGGGGAAGACGCTGAAGACGCAGCGGGGAGGGAGGCGGACTGGGAGGAAGGCGACGCTTGGAGCGCTGGCAGCGAAGAGCTAAGGGGAGACGGAGAAGAAAAGGAGGGTCAGGGGAGGCGGAGTTAGGGAGGAGGGGTAGAGGGAACGAAGAGGAGTGAGCGTCAGGGGAGGGGTAAAATCGATGATATTTGAAGAGTTGTTCAATTAAAACTTAGGAGAGGCTGAACAACAACTTTTTTTTAAAAAAAAGAGACTGGAGCACATTGTTGAAATTTGAGGGGGTTGAAACACATTAAAAATTGGATTTTGGGGCCTAGAAGCAATTTTCTCTCCACCTTATCCACAAAAGGCCTATTAATGTCTTATTCCCTTTTACCCAACCTTCACTCGCATTTTGTCTGTTCGCTCCTCAATTGCCACTTATTAAAGTCTTGAGACTCACCACTAACTCCGGAAATATCCCTTGCCCCTTCACTTTCATGATGAGCGAGGCATTATCAGATGATAACCTTAATTTAAGTAGCCCTCGTATTCGTGGACCCAACGTCAATGTCAGTATATTTAAAATCTTGATTACGCCAATATTAAAGAAAGCAAGTTGCTAAATGATAATTAAAAAGAGTACCATTACATCTACTAAAGCAAGCAACTCAAAACATCAAGTAAACAGTTGCTCATACATCTACATAAACTCCTCTCTCGAAAGTAAGCAAATAGTAGTAGCAAACACCCAAAACAAAAACAAAACATTGTGATAAAACAAGAACAAGCAGAGAAACATTAGAGATTTTCCTATATACATAAACACAACCAGCAGAACTTGAGCCTCTCTCCCCTCCAAACTTATCGTCTGCTCAATCAAACCTTCTAGCGGTGGTTGCTCCTCGTCTCGCCACTGTAGAGCCTACAATACAACAAAAGCAGCAGTTAAGACAATTTATCAAATTCAAAATTATGGACACATCTTCCGTAAACTTAAGTAGGCCGAAATATCTGCTCATGTTTTGTGTGATCCATCGATCAAGATCGTCGATGCATGCCTTGATGTGTATCACACGCCAACACAGACGGAGTCTCGGTCTACTTAAGTTTATATAGAGTTTATACAAGTGCTTTCCGCATCCTGATATATATAATAGTGATCTTATTCTTGATGGACAAATACCAGTCATAAACAGTAGGAGAGTTGGGCTGCGGCCTGTCAAAGAGGTCAGCGCCCAGGTTCCTAGTATTCAGGTTGCTCCCAGGATGAAACACGCTCCTCCACACATTCTGCTTCGGCGTCGTCGCCGTGGGCGACGGCGTCACTGGGGTTGCCGGCGTCCCCGGCGTCCCCGGCATCGTCAGCGATCTTTGGTACTTGTTCCCGCCACTGCTCTCCCCAGCATCATCTATTTCACACACAACCAAATTAAAATTTTAGTACCACTAATTAACTCTCTTAATAAACACCTCCTATGTTAATAGTAAAAAAACAATATTAAAAAAAATTTAGAGAACCTTTGATGATCAAGGGCTTGGTGCTGAGCTTCCTCAGCTTGCCAAGGCCCTTATCAGGGCTAGGGCCAGCAATAACATCATCCCATATTTTGTCAAGGAGCACCATTTTTCCTCTCTCTTTTCTTTTATTAAAGCAAACTCTTGATTAGCTTTTTGTAGACTTGGTGCACATTTTATAAGACAAACGTGGATCGTGTCACCAACGGGTAAGTTTACCGGCAGCCAGTAACTGATTTTGATTGGTAACGTAAATTTTAACTGTGGGGGTGATTAAGATTAGGGTGGTGATGGGAACTTATTAGGAGGTTGAACGAGTAAGCCTAAGTGTAGTTATGAGAGTGTTTGTCCATTAGAGAAGGCGTTAAATAAGGTTGACGGTAGAATGAGGTGCGTAGGTGGCGGATAAGGATGGGGTGGTGGGCCCCGTCAAAAATATCTAGTCTCTAGATCTGAGTATGGTTGTAAAAATGCTAAGAGATTCGTACACGTCATCACTTGTCACGTGAAGTGGGTATTCTTAATTTACTGATGGATCATTCTAGATGTTAGATGAGTAAATCTAAGTATTTCATTAGAAAGAATTTACGAGGAACTTCATCAATAAAGAACTTGGATTGTGCATTCCTTTGGGTATTAAATATTGTTTTTCTTTGTTAATACAACAATGTAATCTTGTTAATTTTCTTGCTTATGCTGCTCTTGGAGTTGGAGGAGGTAGAAAAATTATTGTGAATTAGAAAGGGTCAAGTTCTTTTGTCCAAGCCGAACAAGTATCGTCACGCATCGTCTTCGATGTTGGGCTTCGGTGTTGGCTGAAGGCCCAATTGCAATATTGGGCAATGTCCCAGCAAGAATCCGAATTACAGCCTAGCCTGTCACAAATAGCCGATTACATTCACATCATAATCATCAAATATATATTCTCAGGGGTGATGACTGGCATAGAAGAAAAGCTTTCGAAGGTAATTGTGGCAAGGACCTTTTTATTTTATTTTATTTTATTTAAAGAGAGAAAAAAAATGAGACCCCCCAAACAAGAGGTGCTCACCACCATTACAACTCAAAATCGATTGGGTTTGGGTATATATGAAAGAGTACGCCCGAAATACTAGGGTGTACTCTCAAGTATCATAATCCTTGTACATACGTCAATCAAACGAATAAAACTGCACTTAGAAGACCAGTTTGGTATTGTTTTTTTTAAGGGGTTTTACATTTTTTTGAAGCAGTCAGGTGTTCGATGATGCGTTTTTTTTACTTTGCATGCTTAGTGATATTGCTTCCCCTTTTAAAGGGGTGCTTTTAGAAGCAATATCAGAACGCTTTTAAAAGCAAATTTTACATTTTTTTTCTTAGTTTAGATATTATATTTTACCTTTATCTTTTGATAATGATTTTAAGTACATTTTTGTCAAACACATTAACTGCTTTTAGAAGTAACATTTCATGTATGATTACCAAACAACTATTTTCAGTAGCTTATATAAGTTATTTCTACAAGTTGCTTATCTAAATAACTTATTATAAGCTCCCGTAATATCAAACTATCCCTTAAAAGCCCTACTACAAAGTATCTGAATCATGTACATAACAAAAAGTAAAGCAGAACTTTCCGTATGCAAATTTAAAATATCATTCAAGCACTACGCAATTATCTCCACCACTCCAAGCTCCACCGCAATGAAAACTTGGAGTACCGGAGCAACATTGTACGTTCTAGCTCCATGCCGTAGCTCTTCATCTCTATTATCAGCATTAAACATTTTTTTCAAATATGAAAAATCAAATATTTCCAGTTAGACAAGTGTCACATATATCTTCATTTCTATAGTTTTAAATTTTGCTGATAAATATTTTTAACTTCAAATTTGTGCATTTTAACTTAGATTCGCAAATGTAGACCGCACTCTGATCATCATGGACACTCCATTATGCAAGATGGTTAGAGTTATACTCGTATTTAAAATCCTCCTTAAGCAATTGAGTCATAACCAAACATCACATCATGAATGCAAATCTACGTACCTTGGATTATCTAACACGCATTAGGAAAACAGTAATTTCATGGCATGCTCATGTCACCTGTTCACTGTTCATTTACCTGTTTACTTATGCTTGATGTCTAAACCTCATCATAAATAGGTAAAAATAATCATAGGGGATACGTAGTTTCTTAAAACACTCCCATTATTGATGTAAAAATCACCCTTAAATAATAATGTCTTGGCAATCTCACGTATGTGATGTCAATGCCCACCAACTAATTCCTCAACCAATTTCTTCATATAAACACAAGAAGACCCTCCATCTTCGACAGCCTTCCTACTAGCAACTCTCATCTCCTCCACCTTCCTTCTGACTCTCTTCCCATCCTCGCTCCCCCCCATCAAACTCCTAACTCCCCTCTCCAACTCCTCTGCCTTCACAAAATTGCCCTTCTTCCTTTCAAACTTCATCCCAACCGCCACCCCCAGATCCCTCACCATCTCCAACTCATTCAAATGCTGCTCTGCGTACAACGGCCACGCGAGCATTGGCACGCCGAACCACAAGCTCTCTAAACAGGAGTTCCAGCCGCAGTGAGTGACGAATCCTCCGGTGGATTTGTGGGCGAGGATTTGTGTTTGCGGTGCCCATGATGGCCATACTAGTCCTTGTTCTTTTGTTCGGTCTAAGAATCCGGTTGGTAAGAGTTCGGATGGATTGGAGTCGGTTAGTTGGCGGATTTCGGTTGTTGGAGGGCTTCGGAGGATCCAGAGGAATTTGTGGCCGCTTTGTTCGAGTCCTCGAGCTATCTCCTTTACCTGTGCTTGATAAAAATACGAGTTTTAGGAATTAAAAAGAAAGGGTTAATTGCAGATACGACCGTCGTCTTATATACTCTAAATTAAGTATTTTGTTTGCCTCCGGTATTAATTTGTTTGTTCTCAAGATGGAAGACGATTTAGTGTTATCTTCACTATTTTCTAAAAGAAGCTATAGCTAAGACTTTGTTGACTGTCAGTGGTTGCAGAAGTGACAGTTGTCTCAGTCTTTGTTGTTGTTGATATTGTTATGAGAAATAATACACGTATTATCTGCTACTAACCTGGGCAACATCAAAGCATCCCATACTCCCAAAACACAAGAACACCACAGACCCCGGCGACTGCTGATCCAACCACTGAACACACTCATGCTTACTCAACCCTCCCTCATCACCATCACCAGTCCACAAAACAGGACCAACCGGAAAAGCCTTCGGCGTCGAACAATCCGGCGAAAACATACCCTCACCCAACAACCTCAACGCTTCACTCTCCAACTCTTCAAAAGTATTGACAACAATCCCTTTTGCCTCTCTATACCTCCTCCCATGATACACAAACCACATATACTTGTTGCTCTTCTTGTTCATCAACGGACTCGGCATAGAATTCCCGGTATTGCGTCTATCCCAGGCAAAGGGATTCCTCCTTCCACATTTTCAAATTCTCCAGTTATTTTTTCTTCGAGATTTGGTAAGTGGAGCATTAAGGCTAACAATAATGCACCCGAAGTGAAGTAGGCATAAGAAGGAATGTGGAGTTCGGTTGCTACGTCGAGTAGCGTGGTTGCGAATAAATCAATGAAGATAGCGGAGATAGGGGTTGAGGAGGAAGTGATAAAGTGTTGTCAGTGAGATTTATGGCTCTGGAAGTAAAGAGAGAGCAAGTCCATGGGGCTGTCGCTGTTGGTCAGGGGGTCAATAGGCGGAGCTCATGGAAGCTGATGTCGAGGACGGAGGAGGAGAGGGAGGAGATAAGGGAGGTTGTGGATGAGGAGAAGGGTTGAGAGGGGGATCTTATGAGTAGAGTCGTGATTGTTAGATTGTGGGATGTTTCGAGGAGCTTTGTTGCAAATTGCAGCATTGCGGCTGAGTGGCCTGCTGACCATGCTAGGATAAAAACTAGGTGAATCTCTGCCATTTTCTTCTTCTTCTTCTATGGGATTTATTGGAAATAGATGAATGAGCTACTTGTGGAGAGATGAACAATTTTACGCGCAATAATTTCACTCTCAATCAATATTCTCCCATTTGCGCAATAATATTATGCTCGGATCACTTTGCTATCACATGGTAGTGGAGAGGTGAATCTAGTTCCGTTTATATATCTAGATGATTGTGAGTTATTTCTGTCATCGAGTTAATATGATAGTCTTTATGAGTTGAGCACATTCTTGCTTTTCAGTATAAACAATAATGGTGTTTTTAAATAAGGGACAGTTTCGATTGATAAAGTGCTTTCTGCATTATCTATAGAGAGGTTAAACTGGACTACGCATTTCGTGTCAAATTTCGTAACCAAGTTGACCTTTTGAAACAACTAAACTAGTAAGATAACAGGGTAAACTAGTTAGATAACAGGGTCTTCTGGGATTTGGTTTATTTATTTATAGAATATTTTTGAAAAAAATTGAATTTAGACTGGAAAAGTTGTATCAGTTCTGAGAATCAATTGAATTTTGAGCAGTATATTGACTCTCGACAAGTAGAGGTCATAGAACATATGGATGGGCCTATTGGGATCGTGTCTTTGATTTTTTGTATAACTTCATAAAAATTAGATAGGATTAGAGATCTATCATGATTAAAAGATTGGGTCTCATCATGATTAGGAGTTTGAATTCTATTCTAATTAGGAAGTTATGCTAGAGATATGGTTTTGGTTTCCCTATATATATCCTTCTATTATTAGAGGAAAAACCAAGCAGATGAGAGAGAGCCAATATTCTTGTAATCTAGGGTTAGCAAAGGGCGTAGTCTGATTCAAGAATATTGTGCGAGATGCGAGGGTTTCGTAGTTTTTGCCCGTGCAAAAGATTACAATATTGGGAGAGAGTTTCGCAGTCTTTATCCGCTCAAAAGATTGTAAGGAGTGAGTTTTGGAAAGAATATGAGAGTTGATTATGTACCTGAGGTTGAGAGACGAGAGTTGAGTGGTTCCTCTTATAGTTCTCCCTGATACATAGTGGATTTCTCGTATTGTTGCCCGCGGACGTAGGTCGAAGTTGGTTGATCGAACCACGTAAATTTCGGTGTTCTTTCTTCTTGATTGTGGTTATTTTATATCTTATTGATTGTGGGTTGGCTTCCAAGTTGCACAAATCGTAGTAGGTGGAGAGACTAAAAT